TCATTGTAGTAGAGTTGGCGATATGGGAGGGGATTGGACTGACTGTTCTCAGGGGGAAAGGGAGGGAGGAAGAGACTGAATATAAACTGTGCACTTATGGATGAGGACAATGGGGGGTAAAGAGGGGGCAGAGGGTGGGGTGGGAACCAGGTGGAGGGGGGAAGAAATGAGGAACCTTTGTAATAATATCAACAATAAAGAATGAAAAAAAAAAAAAAGATCACTGTGCCTCAGAGTTTCTGCCAAAGGGTCACTGCTGATGCCAGCTGTAAGAACGGCTCTACAGCAGACATGGCCACAGGTCAGGAGAAGATTACTTGAGATAGTTGTCCAATGAACATAGATATGAATCTTTGAAAGGTCCACCTTTACAATAGACCAATTTCCCCAAAAGGATAGGCCTTGGAATGATCACTGCCCTCCATCCCCCCCCACAAAAAAAAAAATCAAACTGGAAAAAAAAAAATCCTGAGCTGTAGCATCACCAGCATCTGCCAGTGACCTTGATTCTACAGTTGATGGGTGTGCAGAGCCGCCATGGTCATGGGTGAAACTAAGAGGGAGCCGTAAAGGATGCAGAAGAGAGACAGGGGAATAAAGCTGGGGCTAGGTGGGATGCTGCTCTCTCTGATGGAGAGATAGCACCAAGGCCTGTAAGCCATGTCTTTATTTTATGCCAAATTCCAGGAGACAAAGTAAGGTCATAGTCAAGATGTTTACAGTAGTCCCTTAGGTTTGGAATTTACTCAATTACATGCACCTGATCAAGCTTTGTTTACTTGCTGCACCTCCTACAGCCCATATCACTCAGCAATGTGGGCCCACAGGTTCAGACCATAAGGTCAAACTTTCATCTATACCTTTGCTATAATTGTGCTGGGACTTGTGCCTGGCTTTGCTCTCTCATTAGTTCCAAGCTTGAACCTGTCCGAATGCTGTAGCCACTCTCCACAGATGGGTCTTCCGCATTGTTGAATTCAGGACAAGCTTTTTACTGGCAACTTCATTGCCAGTCCAATCTCATGAGCTAATACTCCCCACACTAATGTCTGTGTCCCTCAGTTGTGTACATGTGCATATAAGTCCCCAGTGAATTTCTCCTCACCAACCCAGCCACCTCCTCCTTCTCTGGGAGATTCCACAGTCTGTTCCATGCTTCCATGTCTCTGTTTTATGTTTCCGTTTATATTGTTCCTTTTAGAAACAGATTAACCTCTTTCTTCTTGAGGTCCTCTTGCACAGTATTCTTATCCGTCTTTAGGTCAATGGTGCCATTATTAAGGACATCTAGCTGCTTAATAGCAGAGAAATTTGAGAGCAGGACTGGGTCCTATGATGCTCTTTGGTAAACCGGCCCTGTCTGGTGGTAAAAGCATCTCAGGAGGGCAATGGTAAGATATGAACACATATAATAATTTAATAAAAAATTTTAAAAGCTGAAACCTGTTTAGCTCAATGGTAGAGCGTCGGTCTGCGGACTGAAAGGTCCCCGGTTTGATTCCGCTCAAGGGCATGTACATTGGTTGCGGGCACGTCCCTGGAAGGCTTTTGTAAGAGGCAGCTAGTGGATGTTTCTCTCTCATCGACGTTTCTAGCTCTCTATCTCTCTCCTTTCCTCTCTGTAAAAAATCAATAAAATATTTATTTTTTTTAAAAAAATTTTTAAATGAAAGGAGGATCAATGCCCTTTATTAACATCTGATTGACTGTGTGAAAAGCCAAGGAAAACATATCCTTTGAAAACTTCCCACAGGGTCACATAATATCCAAAGGTAGTCTAGTCAGGTAGAATCTAAACTGTCTTCAGGAAAATCTCACAAACGTCAAGTCAAGACACAAACTCTTCCCTGTCCTCCTCAGTTTCCAGAAAGATGCCATCCTCTTCAGCTTTTCTGCAGGGGATCCAACCCATGCTTTCCTCTTAGCAGGTGGCACAAGGCTGGAGGCCAGGACAAGGGCACAGGGGCTTTCTCCAATGTGCCCTTCACCGAGCACATGGCACCTGCAGACTCATCTCTGTGAGCCTCACACCAGGGCCAACACCACTCAGCTCCCAAATGCTTCCAAGGGCAGCCTCAGGCAGCTGCGAGGTGAGCGACACTGTTTTACGTCTATCACAGACAGATATCCAGGAATGGGGCTTAAAAGGCTACAAATGGCACCATGTCTGTCCTTGTCTTCGGATTTTACAGCCCATGGGTGCCTGTTGCAGAGGTCCCGCTTCCCGGCAAGGGATTAAGGGTGTGGTGAAGTATTGGTGGAAGAAGAGCCAGGTTCAAGTTCCTCAGAATACCTGCAATGCATTCTCGGTACATGCACAAGGCATAGAGCAATGAACAATTCACCTTTGCCTTCTGGGTCAGCTAAAGCCCAAACCTTCCCAGTATCAGATCTGGGAGTCTGATATGTTCAGGAAAGCAGCAGCATCACAGCCAATACCCTGAGGGATGGGCTGCACCACCCTTTCTGAAGCATTTTTCACATGAAGGGGTCCCACTTCACTGTTTCAGGGAGGCCTAGGTCTGCACAGACATAGTGCCCCCATCCTGTATGGGAGGGGAAGGAAGGACAGGCAGGCAGGCAGGAGCAGGGAGGAAGGGGAGGGTGCATGGGAGGCAAGCCTCTCCCTCCTCCCACCCAACAGGATTTCTCTTCCACATCCATTCCTATTGGACGCTCCCCTCCCATATGGCGACTTCTCCACACAGAGTCCCTCCCAGAGCTGTCCTGATGTTCAGGACGCAAAGAGGTGGACAGTGAGATCTGCCCTCTCCCATGCAGTCCTCTCTCCCTAATTTAGCATCTTAATGTGATGTGCCCAGCAGAGCCCACAGCAATGGTGAACCTGCACAGATGCCCATGCCCGGCTAGAATAGATTGAGTTCATTTCACACACAAAGGGGACATGGCTCCATGCTGACCATGGGCGAGGTCCGTGGGTAGAGACACTCCAGTGCCCATATCCGAAGCATATAGCGAGGGCAACCGTGTCCCAAATTTCATCCTGAGTCCAGATTCCCTCCCTGTGTGTGGCCACCCTGGGACCCTCTCTTGTCCACACAGAGGTGGAAACTCCACGCTGGTGACTTCTGGCTGTACTCAGGCACAGGAGCCTCTCAAGGGCGGCCCCCATTGTCTGTTCTGCTTCCCTCTCCATCTGGGGAACTTCCACTTCCCTTTTTGGGCATTGAGGTTGGCCATGTGCTTCAGAAACAGTGAGCATGGCCTTTCTCAGCATCAGGAGCAGATGGGGATGTGTATGTGGGTTTAGCAATCATCCCAGTCTTGCAGAGTTCTGAATAACACCGCTCAGGGCTCACCTCACAGACGTAGTCGGGTGTGGAAACAAACCAGGATGGCTGCCACTAGGTCCCAGGGCACCAACCCCACAACCACTCTAAGGAGTTGAATTCTTGACGACCTGCTTCATGAGAGGAAACTGAGACTCAAGGGATTGTACCTTGAGGGTGAAGGTCACACACCTGATGGACAATGGAGGACTCTTTACATAAGCGTCAGCCCAGCCGGCAGGGCGCAGTTGTTGCACATCATCTATTAACCAGGAGGTCAGGGTTCCGTATCTGGTCAGTGCACGTGCCAGGTGCTGGGCCAGATCCCTCTTGTGGGGCTTGCATGAGACAGCCTATGAGTGATTTTCTCTCACCATTCACTTTTCTCTAGCCTTCTCATTTCCCCTCTGAAATCAATAAAGATATGTATATATATTTTCAAACTTGTTGTGGGGGGGGGGGGGGGAGAATAAAGAACAGTGTGTGAGTGGTGCTCCCGCCGCTGGAAGTGGGGCCCGCTGGGAGCAGGACGGCTCTGTGCACAGATACGTGTGGGAGCTGTGGTTCAGACCAGCTCTGCGGGTTGCAGGTGGGTTCTAGGGGCAGAGGGAGCTCACAGCTGCCCTTAAAGTGTAAAGTGTGGGTGCCGGAGTTGAATCTGAACTCTGGGTAAGAGATGAGCTCCAGGTTCAAAGCAAAGAGCAGCACAGTGACTCCTGGTGGCAAACCCCACAAACCCACAGTCACCTGGGGAGAGGGAACTGGTGCTCATGGGGACAGTGGACAGGTCCTGCCAAATTCCAGAGCAACCGTCCTGCTAAGTCCATTGGGTCCTGAATCCATGTAGTGCTGTGACCCCTCAGGAGCTAAACTCATTGAAGAGTAAGTAAATGACAGAGGTTTGTTCTCTTGTAACCTGATTGAGACATTACTGCTCAGTTCACACAGGAAGCAGGTGGGACACAAGTATTTAAATAAAGAGGGTTTAATCAACCAATCAAAGCTCTAGCCCAGAAGACCCCTTCTTAATGTCTAGGACAAGCCATGGCCCCAGCGGACAGCTCTGCCTGAGGAATGAGGGGCTCTCAGGGGAAAGTGACCCTGAGGCGTGTTCCCAGGAAGGAGCGACTGGAGGCTTTGGCTGAGAAAAAGGGAAGTTCATGAAGATACATGTGAAAGAAAAAAAAAAAAAGATTCCGGGGCCACAGAAGGGACCTGCTTCCTTCCCTTATTGCCCTACATTTCCCTCTGTGCTCACTGTCAGAGGGACATCGCCCTGAGCTGCACACGGAGAGGGTGAGCATGTCCCTGCTGATCTGAACTCTGCAGGCCACAGGGACCCACATCTTCCTGAAGCGTCTCCAGGATCATGGTGGCACTGTCCATGGTGAGGACCCCAGGGAGGTGATGGATGGGCTGAGGAGGGAGGAAGCTCTGTGGGGGAGGCTCTGACAGGGAAGGACGTGCCTGGGTCACCTCGGCTACAAGGGGCGGCTCAGGAGGCTCCAGGTCTATATCCTGCTTCACCATGAAAATGACAGCCAGGCTGCTACAGAGAGGTTGTGTCCTCACCTGCAGGCTGCTAACATGAGAGCCCTGTGACAGAAAAGGCTGACCTCCAAGTAACCACCACCTGTGCATCTCTGTGTCCATCCTACTAGCAATGTGGCTTACTCCACTGCTAAGCTGAGGCCACAGGGAGAAAACGCCATGACCCCCATCAGGGCCCTGCTCTGCCTCGGTGAGATGGGAAGGGGAGGGGAGCCCTGGTCTATGAGGATCCCAGGACTCAGGAGGCTCATGGGGAGGAGGGTATTGCTCAGGGTTCAGGGCAAATCTCTCACAGGGACTCTCTTCCAGGGCTGAGTGTGGGCCTCAGGACCCCAGTGCAGGCAGGTGAGTCTCCCCAGGTGTCCGAGGTTCCAATCCTCACTGGGGACAAGGGGCTGCCCCACAGGCAAGTGGGAAGGGGTGCAGATCTTTCCGACAGATGGGGGCATCTGAGACCTAGAGCTCAGAACCAAAAGTGGGAATGTCCTGTGACCTAGCCTCTAATTCCTTCTAGAGACCGTCCCCAAGCCCACCCTCTGGGTTGAGACAGGCCCTGTGATCCCCTGGGGAAGCTCTGTGACTGTCTCCTGTCAGGGGAATCCCGAGGCAGATGAGTACCGTCTGGATAAAGAGGGAAGCCAAACACCATGGAAAACACAGAAGCCACAGGAGCCCGGGGACAAAGCCAACTTCTCCTTCTCACACATGACAGAGCATGATGCAGGGATATATCGCTGTTACTATCACAGCACTGGTGGCTGGTCAGAGCGCAGTGACCACCTGGAGCTGGTGGTGACCACAGGTGAGAGGACACTCAGGGGTCACAGCCTAGGACTCTGCCCTCTGGAAGGGGGTCTGCTCTCAGGGTGTCTCCCTCTCACAGCCCTGCCCTGGGGGACATGAGGGAGGTGTGAGCCCATTTAACCTGCTGCCTCCTCCTCTCCTAGGATCCTACAGCAGACCCAGTCTCTCAGCCCTGCCCAGCCCTGTGGTGACCTCAGGAGGGAACGTAACCCTCCAGTGTGGCTCAGGGGAGGCGTTTGACAGGTTCCTTCTGACTAAGGAAGGAGATGACAGGCTCTCCTGGACCCTGGACTCACAGCCACAGTTCAGTGGGAAGTCCCAGGTTCTATTCCCCGTGGGCCCTGTGACTTCTATTCATAGGGGGACGTTCAGATGCTATGGCTGCTACAGAGCCATCTCTCAGGTGTGCTCACATCCCAGTGAACCCCAGGAGCTCCTGGTTTCAGGTGAGTCCCATTATTGCCCCATCCATGGACTGAGGTACCAGCCAGGTTATCGGGGTCTTTTTTTGTGAGGGGAGCCCATTGAATGTGTGGGGAGTGAGAAAACAGAGGCTCCTGTTTCACAGAGACAGAGAGAGACAGTGAGAGCTGGGGGCCAGGACAGCAGAAGGGGTTTATGGGAGGAGCAGCCACTGGCATTCATGGTGTGGTCTCTTCAGGTGAGTCTGGGAAGCCCTCTCTCCTGAGCCAGCAGGGCCCCATCGTGGCCTCTGGACAGAGCCTGACCCTCCAGTGTGGCTCTGATGTCAGCTATGACAGATTCGCTCTGCACAAGGAGGGGGATCGGGACCTCCTCCAGAGCCTTGTCCTGCAGCCCCAGGCTGGGCTCTCTCAGGCCCACTTCTCCCTGGGCACTGTGAGCAGCTCCCATGGGGGCCGGTACAGATGCTACGGTGGATACAACCTCTCCTCTGAGTGGTCAGCCCCCAGCGACCCCCTGGACATCCTGGTGGCAGGTGAGGAGCCTGTGGGTTCAGTCAGGGACCCAGACTCTGCACAGGCCCTGCTGGGGGCTTCAGGTGGTCAGGCCAGAGTAAAAGTGCAGGGACCCTGGGATGGTGAGAGACAGAGAGAGATAGGGGGTGGGAGAGGGGGAGAGTCAGAGAAACAGAAACAGAGGGTCCTCAGAGAGAGAGGCCTGGTGACTCTCAGGGCAGAACAAGGTGGACAAGCAGCCCTCTCTCTCTCTCTCTCTCTCTCTCTCTCTCTCTCTCTCTCTCTCTCTCTTCTCTCTCTCTCTCTCTCTCTCTCTCTCTCTCTCTCTCTCTCTCTCTCTCTCTCTAGGACACGTGTCTGACAGACCCTCCCTCTCGGTGCAGCCAGGCCCCAGGGTGGCCTCAGGGAAAAACGTGACCCTGCTGTGTCAGTCACAGAGGCAGAGGGACATGTTCCTTCTGTCCAAGAAGGGGACAGCTGATCCTCCCCTGCGTCTGAGATCAGAGCACCGAGCTTGGCAGTACCAGGCGAAGTTCTCTATGAGTCCTGTGACCTCAGCCCACGGGGGCACCTACAGGTGCTACAGCTCACTCAGCACCTCCCCCTTCCTGCTGTCACGCCCCAGTGAGCCCCTGGAGCTCCTGGTCTTAGGTGAGAGCCCTGACCCAGTCTGCTGAGCTGTCAGCTCAGGGTCCCGTCCTCAGAACAATCGCGGGCTGAAAGGGGAGGAGGGGCTCAAGCATGGTCACCCAGAGGAGATCAGACCCTCGGGAACTCCCTTCACACACCTGGTCCAGAAGGTGCCAGGTGAGCAGTGGGAGTGACTTTGTGAGGACTCGGGGAGCGAGGGACTCCAGGGTCAGCCCCAAACTCTCCCCTCCTCCTGTCCTTCTCAGAACCCAGGGACCCAGGACCTCACCCAGTGAGTGCTCTTTCCTCAGAGGGACACAGCACCCTGGGCAGGTCTCAGTCTCTGAGGACCTAATGCCGCCCATGCACTATGGGCAGGCTGTCCTAAGGCTGCTAGGAGCTGGGACAGATTTCAGGGAACCATGGGTCTCTGGGGCGCGGAGGATCGGTCTGCCAGACCCAGGGAGTCAGGCCCACATAGAGGGAACTGGGGAGCTCTGTGAGGAGGTGGCAGGTGACTCTATGGAGGCAGAGGTTTAGGCATAATAGGGTTCAGGCCCCTCTGAAATCGCTCCATTCCCTTTCTGGGCCTCAGTGTCTGCAGATGTAAAAGGAGAGAAATCCTGTCCAGAGCTTACATTTCCTATCAGTTCTGGCCCTGACCTCCTGGGAGAGGGCCTCACAGGGAAGCCCCCAGGACGTGATGTTATGGGACCCGTCCCCTCTATCTCAATGATGGTGACGCTTCACAGGGAGGGACAGGCAGGACAAGGGTCCGGGCCGCCAGTGGAACCCTCAGCTCAGGCTGAGCTCAGAGGAGGAAACAGGGTGGATCAGCCCTGGCTCAGCTCCTGGCTCTGCTGCTCCTGCTGTGGGGCTGGGGGTCCCTTCTCTCCTCTGAGTGTCAGGTTCCTGTCTGCTCATCCCTGGTCCCATCCTGCTCACAGGCTGCTGGGAGGTGAGGTGACATAAGGGCCTCACAGATCTCAGGAAGGCAGAGCCCCCAGCCCAGCCTGACTTTCCCAAGGAGCATCAGGGCATGCAGGGTGTGGATGGATTCTGGAAAGACACAGAGTCCAGCCCACACCCTGCCCCTTCCTGTCCCTGCTATGCTGGGGGCACATAATAAGGAAATACCCTCACCTTCAGATGAGACGAGGACCTGTAGCTGGCATCCCCCTGAGGGCAGCGTGAGGACAGCACAGGGAACCCACAGTCCTGGTTCCAGTCCCAGCTCTGCCCAGTCCAGGATGGTGACCTGGGGCACGTGGTTAACCCCTCTGAGCCTCAGTGAGGTGGGTGTTGAGGTCAGCAATCCCTGATGCATGGCCGGTATGAGGTGAGAGGAGATGAGTGACAGACCCCAGCATGGGCTCACACACAGTAGGTGCACATTCAATGACATCATTATCTCATTCGTGACATCATGAGGAGGAAGAAGGGCTCCCAGGACCTTTCATGTCTGATTCCTTTCCAGGAGACGTCCCCAAACCCTCCATCTGGGCTGACCCAGGCCCCATCGTCACCAAGGGGAGCTCGGTGACCATCTGGTGTCAGGGGTCTCTGCAGGCTAGTGCCTACGTTCTGTACAAAGAGAGGGGCTCTGAGCTCTTGGACACGAAGATCCCACAGGACTCCAGCAACAAGGCCGGCTTCCTCATTGAAGCCACCACCTCACACATCGCAGGGCGGTACCAGTGTGCATATTACACCGCTGAGGACATACTCTCAGAGCGGAGTGACCCCCTGCTCCTGGTGGTAACAGGTAAAGGAGACACTGGGTCCCCTCCCCACTGTGGGTCACAGGCAGAGGCAGTAACGTGTGGCCTCATGGGGACCTCACCCCTCATAGAACACACCTGGGGCATGAGGGTGATGGTCCTTTAATACAGACCCTTTCTCCTCCCTCAGGAGAGTACATTGCACCCTCCCTCTCAGCCCAGCCAGGCCCTGTGGTGGCCTCAGGAGAGAACGTGACCCTCTCCTGTAGCTCTAAGGTCACATTGGGCCTCTTCCATCTGCTGAAGGAGGGAAGGACTGACACGCGCCAAAGCATGAAATCTGAATGGAGGAAGCATGCTGGGAGATTGCAGGCCCAGGCTATCTTTCCTCTGGGCCCCGTGAACACAACCCACGGGGGCACCTACAGATGCTATGGTTCTCGCAGCTCCTATCACAACGTGTGGTCACAGCCCAGTGCCCCTCTGCACATCGAGGTCACAGGTGAGGACAGACCCGGGTGCATCCCCATCTGTTCCCTGGGCCCAAAGACCTGATCTAAGCTGGGAACTCAGCTGGGCTCATGGGGTCAGTGACTCTGGCCTCTTGGGGACAGACCCACAGGCGGGAAGCTCAGGAAGGGACATGGGAGACTCACACTGCAGCCCAGTGGGCGATGTGGGGTGCCCCTGGTGCCACTATCCCCTCCTCCCAGGTGTGTACAAGGAGCCCGCCCTCAAGGCCCAGCCAGGCACGCTGGTGCTGCCTGGACACAGCCTGACCCTCCAGTGCCACACGGAGGCCGGCTTTGACAGGTTCGCGCTGACCAAGGATGAGGGGCTCACACCTCCCCAGCGCCTCGATGGGCAGCTCAGCCCCAACTTCCCCCTGGGCCACGTGAACTGCACCCACGGGGGCCGGTACAGGTGCTACAGTGGACACCGCCTCTCCTCTGTGTGGTCAGCCCCCAGCGCCCCCCTGGACATCCTGGTGGCAGGTGAGGAGCCCGCCCTGCCCCTGTGCTGAGGGTCTGCTCAGGGCTCTGGGTCCAGGGTCACCTTGGGGTGATGGGATACAGGAGAGGGGCCTGGAGCAGAGGCTGAGCTGGGAAGAGGCCCAGGGGAGGGAGGGAGAATGGGGGTGAGCTCATGAAAATAAAGGACACCCCCAGAATGACTGACAGGAGTTGGCAGGGGTCACAGACACAGTCTCTAGAGAAAGACAAGGTCCCTAAGCTCAGGGTTAAGGGCGTGAGAGAGGGGTGGCTCTCTGTACATCACAGCCTTCCTCTCCCCAGGAATGTACAGGAAACCCTCCCTCTCAGCCCAGCCAGGACTCTCAGTGCTCAGGGGAGCGACCGTGACCCTGCAGTGTGGGGCTGAGAGCTGGTTTGACACCTTCCACCTGCACAGGGAGGGGTCACTGGACCCTCCCCAGCACCTTCGTCTGCAGAACATGTCTGTACCCTCTCAGGCCACCTTCACCCTCAGTCCTGTGAGCTCAGGCCACCAGGGGACCTACAGGTGCTATGGCTCCAACAGCTCCACCCCCTACCTGCTGTCACAGCCCAGCGACCCCCTGCAGCTGGTGGTTTCAGGTGAGGAGCCCCAGCCCCACGCCTGTGTCCTCAGGTCAGTCAGGGCCTGTCCCCAGGGGACCTTGGGCTGCAATGGGCTGAGGACTCCCACCTCCTAGGTGACTCTCACCTCCTAGGGGAATCGAAAGAGCCAGAGCTGCTCCCATCTCTGCCTCATCCTCATCCTCCTCCCTGAGGCCCAGACATGCCCCTTTTGGCAGAGGGAGGCTGGCGAGGATGGGGCTGACCAGAAGCAAAGGCCCGGGCGCCCATTTCTACCCTCATCCCCAGTCCTATGGCCTCAGCCAGAGACCAAGACAGGAGTATGAGCTGCTGAGGCCGGATCCCCACAGAGAGCAGGACCCCTGCTGGGCTCGGCCTGTCTCCCAGAGGGGTTGGGGGATGGAGATGCTGGGGGACCTCCAGGGAGGAGCAGCCCCACCCCTCTCCTCCCTTCCTGCTTTAGCAGCCTCTGAGGATGGGTCCCCGATGGGAGGTCAGACCTCAGAGGACTAAGTGAGGGTCTGGGGGGAGGTGGTGGGTGGGAGGAGCTCAGTGTTGGTCTTGGCTCAGCCACTTCCTGGGTAATGGCCTGAGGAGACTTCCTCCTTCTCACTGGGACCAAGTTCTCCGAAGGCTGAATACTTAGTGTGCTCGTGTCTGTGTGTGCATGTATATGTGTGTGTGTGGTGCGTGTGTGTGTGTGTGTGTGTGTATCTCTGTGTGTCTGTGTATCTGTGTGGTGTGTGTGTGTGTGTGTGTGTGTGTGTGTGTGTGTGTGTGTGTGTGTGTTGCAGACTCAGGTGGTGTCTGAGCCTCCTCCACAGCCTTCCAAGGATTCCAAGGAGCAGCCGTGGAGTCAGGAGGAGAAGCCTCAGCCTGGGTCCAAGTCCCGGCTCTGCTCCCGCCCGCCTGTGGGACCTGGGACATGTCTGTTGCTCTGAGTCCTGGTCCAGGGGCTGTGGGTCAGGCCCCACCTCCCCCAAAGGGAAGGCCCTCAGCACGCAGCCTGGCCTGGTTAGAGTTCAGGAAGGACCAGCCCTCCCTCCTGCCCATCCCAGAGGCGTCCCATGTGCATACTCCCGCCCCTGTGGGAGGCGGGAGGGCAGTCAGGCTGCAGACTGGGACAGGGATCTGGGCTGATATGGAGAGGGTGGGTCTACCTGCAGGTACAGGGACAGCATGAATAATACTGATAACAATAACAATAACAACAATAGTAATAATACCCTAACCAGTTTTGCTTCTCCCATTAGAACATCAGCCCTCAGACTAAAGCATGTCAGGCTTGGACCCTGGTCAAGGGCACAAACTTTAGTTGAAGATTTGATCTCCCACCCTGGTCAGGGCACATGTGGGAGGCAACCAGTCAATTTGTCTGTCTTACATCAATGTTTCTCTCTCTCTCTCTCTTTCTCTCTCTCTTCCCGCCCCCTGCCTGACTTCTACTGTCTCTCTAAAGATCAATGGAAAAAATATCCTTAGGATAGGATTAAATCAATAATAATAGTAACAACAACACACAGGGATTCCCCTGTCCCAGGTTCCAGTCCCAGGCTGCCCCGCCCAGGCTGGGTAACATGAGGCATGTAATTAACCTTTCTGAGCCTCAGTGAAGTAGGTGGTGGGGTACGCAATCCCTGTCACCTGACTGCTGTGAGGTTAGAAGAGATGAATGACAGACCCAGCATGTGCCTCTCACACAGTAGGTGCTCATTTATTACCTCATTGGCTCATTCATGACATCACTTGTGTTCAAGATCTCAACTGGAACCTGATCGTCCTGATCGGGGTCTCAGTGGCCCTGGTCCTGCTGCTCTCCCTCCTTCTCTTCCTCTTCCTCCGATTCCGGCGTCAGAGCAGAGGCAGGACATCTGGTGAGTAGGGATGACCTGGGTCACAGGAGGGGGCCTCAGAGCACCTGCCACAGGAAAGCCAAACAGCTGGGGAAGGTCAGCTGAGTGGATTTCTCTCAAACCTCAAATCAGGAAATGTGGAGCCCTAGCTGGTTTGGCTCAGATAGAGTGTCAGCCTTCCCCAAGGACCCCAGGCTTTCCCTAACCTCCCCCCTCCCACACACACACACACACACACACACACTCCTAACTCTCCTGGCTCCACCCCCAGCTGCAGCCCCGCTGTTGACACCCAGCAGGAGCCCCTCTGTGAGAGGAAGAGACAGCTGCCCTGGGGAAGGGGCACAGGGATTTCAGGAGGGGATGGAGATTTCCAGGTGGAGGCGGAGTATGTGGAAGCACCTCTTCCCAGGACCAACCTGGAATTAAAACTAAATGAAGGAGCCATCACCCTGAATAACCACATGGAGACTGGCCGAGGAGGAGTCACATAGCCGAGGATTCACAGAAGCCACATGGCGACTGGCAGGAGGGGCAGGCACAGGAAAAGGGCCGCCCTGGCTCACAGGAGAGGGTTAGGCTGGGAGAATGGGGATCAGGGTGAGAAGGACTGAGACCCATGCTGTGTGACCTGGTGCCTCACCTCACCCTGGGTTAATGGCCCATCTGGGAGCAGGCGAGGTCTGCAGCCCTGAGATCTCGGGGACCTGCCAGGAGACACCCCCTATTCTTCCCCAGCAGATGCTTCTGTGAAGGACTCGCAGCCTGGGGAGAGAGTGGAGCTGGACCCTCGGGTGAGACCCCTGCTCCTGCCCAGGCCACCAAGGACCTTCTGTTGCCCAGTTTAATCCAATGGACCTTCCCTGTCCCACCTCACCTGGTTCTTAGCATCATCCTCTCTGAGCCCCCAGGTCATCCTGCTGTGACTCACTCCTCCTGGGTTCCTTGTGACCCCATAGCCCCTGCTAAGGGGCCCCCTTTGCTGGCCCCTCGTCCTCTGTCTTACGTTGTGCAGCCCCAGGTCTCAGGAGGAGGCAGGAGTGAGTGACTCACCACAGGTCCCCAGGACCCCTTCATTCATTCACCCAGCAGATGTGAGGGGCTCCCTGTTTACCGGCTCCATTTAGGGGCCACGGTGCCGTCCTGAGCCACACTGTGTCCACACGCCTCAAGCTCACCTGTGGACGAGGGAGACAATATGCAAACAAACAGACAGTGTCCCAGAGAGCACAGTGCTGTGAAGGAACATAAAGCAAGAGGAGGGGATAGAGTGCATGGTGCCGGACAGGGAAAGAGCGGGTGCAGAGGTCCTGGGGCAGGGCCTGCTTCTTCAGGAGGAGGGACCATGAGGCTGGAGCCCAGTGAGCAAGAGAGAGCGCGTTAGGATGAGAGTCAGAACCAGAGGCCCCAGGTCTTAGGAAGGCCCTGCAGGTTCCACCAGCAGAAGGACTTGGTCTATTTGAAGTGTAAGCCATCTCCCTGGCAACATGAGGATGATTGACAGGAGGCACTGTCTCCAGCAGAACGGGCAGGATGAAGACCCCCAGGGAGAGACATACGTCAATATGAACTGCTCAAAACCAAGACCCACGCAGGGAACGGCTGCCTCTCCTTCCTCCCTGTCAGGGGAAGTGCTGGACACAAAGGGCAGACAAGCAGAAGAGGACAGACAGATGGACAGTCCGGTGAGTCCCATTCTCTACAGACCTCCAGGTTTCCCAAACCCCAACCAAGTGTCATTTCTCTCTCTCTCCCTCTCTCTCTCTCTCTCTCTCTCTCTCTCTCTCTCTCTTCCCCTGCTGCAGGCTGCACCTGACAACTCCCAGGATGTGACCTACGCCCAGCTGAACCTCTTGGCCCTTACACAGCAGACAACTGCACCCTCATCCTCCCCATCAGAGGAGCCCAGCTTGTATGCTGCTCTAGCCTTCCACTAAGGACCCAAACTGCACACTCCAGGGAGGGGCCTGCGGGACCCCAGAAGCCATGGGTACTTCCTCCAGGGATACTCGGCTAGTGACCGCAGCCAGCTTGGAGTCCAGATGTGCTCCCCCGGCCGCTCCTGGCACCCTCTGGGAGTCACCTGGTTCTATAAGCAATATGCCTGCATTTTGGAATCAAAGCAAGACTTCTCAATAATCAATGCATGAACTTAGCACAAAACACAAGTGAGTGAATGTTTTAAGTGAATGACAATGTAAATATACATCAAACCTATGAAATGGAACAGAGAAACAACCTACGTGTCCTTGAACTGATAATGGGGTAAAGACGTAGTAACTATACAAACAGAATATTTCTCAGTCATAAAACATGAAATACTGCAATTTGCCACAACATGGATGGATCTGGAGAGCATCCCGCTAAGTGAGGAAACTCACACAGAAAACGACAAGAACCGCATGATTTCACTTATCTGGGTGAACTATGAAACTTGGAACTGTCATGTTTGTTAAATACATTGAAGCTGGAATTTAAAATTTTCCTGCAACCCTGGCTGGTGTGTCTCAGTGGAAAGAGCATTGGGCTGTGGATTGAAGGGTCTCAGGTTCTGTTCCAGTCAAGGGCACAGGCCTGGGTTTCGGGCACGATCTCCAGAGGTGATTCTCATCATTGATGTCTGTATCTCTCTCTCTCTCTCTCTCTCTCTCTCTCTGTGTCTCTCTCTCTCTCTTCATTCCTCTCTGAAAACAATAAATATATATATATATATATATTTTAAACTGCAAAGTAATTATAGTTGAGAACATTTCTCTGCTAAATGCTTCTGAACACTTATATGTATGAAATACACACATATATATACATGCATGTATGAAATACATACACATATATACCTGGACATACACATGGGCACACACGGACATATACACAAACATATACAGACATATCCATGGGTGCACATGGACATATACACCAACATACACACACATACATATATGGACATGTACATACACACAAAATCTAAAAAGTATAAAGATCTATTATTCTAATTTGAAAAGAATGTATCCAATGTTACTAGATATACCATTAATATCTACAAACCAATTGCATTTCAGACTTTCCATTTTAGACCAAGGGGAAGCAGAACAATGTCTTCCTCACCCCCCTGACAGCACAGTAAAAACCCCTGGTCATTGCACATACATCAAACAGAAGCCCACGCCTGGCTTAGGGCCAGAGCTGCAGGGTGAGGCCTCCTGACCACAGCATCCTGGAGACCAGATGTGGACCCGGCCAATCCTGGCACTCTTTGAGAGTCACTGGTTCTATAACCATATGCCTACATTTTTAAATCAGAGCAAGACTTCTCAATAATAAATGTGTGAACTTTGAACAAAACAGAGGCAAGAGGACGCTTTAAGTGAGTGTTGGGCAGCAGCTACCAGGGTGGCCCTACAGCAGCTCTCCTCCCTCCCCATTCCCCACCTCTGGCCTCACTGACCCACCTGCAGGCCCCCAGGAGCCTAGAAAGCCCTACAAGGCTGAGGCTGACCAGGTGTGCGCCACGCTGCTGTGCTCCTCTTCCTGCAGTCCTTCCATGCGGCCTCCCGTGTGAACTGCAGATGCAGATTTCCAGGTGGAGGCGGAGTATGTGGAAGCACCTCTTCCCAGGAACAACCTGGAATTAAAACTAAATGAAGGAGCAATCACCCTGAATAACCACATGGAGACTGGCCGAGGAGGAGTCACAGAGCCGAGGATTCACAGAAGCCACATGGCGAATGGCAGGAGGGGCAGGCACAGGAAAAGGGCCGCCCTGGCTCACAGGCAGTGGCTGACCTTGGCCTGCACCAGAGTGCCTCCCAAGAGGCCCAGAACCAACCTACCATGGCCAGCCTCAGAGGACATCAGAGCAGGACCCAACTAGCCTCACAAGCAACACATCCAAAGGGAGATCTCCAGACAGCAGACCTGGCTGAGGCGAATGCCACTTCCTGTGGTCAGCGTCTGCCCAGCAGCTTGTAGGCCATGTTTAGGGCTGAGCCTCCCAGTCAGCCTGCCTCAGGGTTCATTCCACACACAAATACAACAGCCATCAAGACTCAATTACACGGGTCCATGGGGAGAGCCCTTCATCCAGGGAAATGGGGTGTGGCCGGACAGGGGGCATGGCCAGAAAGAGGGCCACCCCCTTGCCATTCACGCAATGCAGGATCCTGGGGAACCTGGTGCTGAACCATTGGCAGACAACTTGCTTCTGGGTCCTGGTTTCGCACTTAGCAAAACAGGTTCCTCGCTTTGATCTATTGAAAGTCATCCCTGGACACGGGGTTTGTCTTGTTCTGGCCTCTCTCCTTCCCCAGGGCAGCGCGGTGGGTGGTTGAGGTAAGGAAGGGAGAGGGCGGGAAACCGCGCACATGTTGAGCTGAAGTTGGGGACCCCTTCCTTTCCTTCCTTTCACTCCTGGCATGGAGACCTCAGCGTCCTCTCCTGACCCCGCCAGGGCCTTGGGCTCTGGGTTGGGACTGGGAAGTGGGGGTGGGTAAACATGGCTCGTTTCCCAGGTAAATATACCTGTGGCTCCCTCCACCATATTTTCCTCCCCCTCCTAGAAACCGGGTCTACCAGCACTCCCTAAACTGTAGGCACAGGGCAGCCTCAGGGACCTAAGTTTGTGCCGTGGCTCCAGTGTACTAGATGACTAGATGGCCAGCCCAGACTTAATCTTGGGCAGCAGTAGAGATCATGAGATTGGGGTCGACCAGATGGCCGGCCCTGGACTTAGTCTTGGGCAATTGTGTAGACTATGAGATCGAGGTCGACCAGATGGCCGGCCTGGACTTAGTCTTGAGCAGCATGAAGATTGTGAGATTGGGGTTGACCAGATGGCTGGCCCGGACTTAATCTTGGACGGTGGAGGAGACTATGAGATTAGGGTTGACCAGATGGCCAGCCCGGACTTAGTCTTGAGCACCAGTGCAGATCATAAGAGGCCGGGTCAACCAGATAGCTAGCCAGTCTCAAAGCTGTACGGACCATGAGAGACAGGGTCAACCAGATGGCCTGGACCGGACTTTCCTTCTGGGAATGGGTATGAGTGATTGGGTTGACCAGTTATATGTGCAAATGAGGGATGGAAGACAAAGGACTGGTGATTGGGGCGGGGGAAGGGAAAGGAGAGGGGTAGGCTGGGAGCCAGATAAGGGGCGGGGCAGAGACAGGGCAGGGTCAGGGGCGGGGGCGGGGCCAGGGGCAGTAACAGGGTATGGCCAGGCCTGGGCAGTAACAGGGTATGGCCAGGCCTGGAACAAAATAAATGTTGACAGGATATATATATATATATATATATATATATATATATATATATATATATATTAAAAAAAACAAACTCAATTACAAGAGCAGGGCCCACATAATCCATGCAAGGGACATCCCTAGAGCACCCAGCTTAGGTGATCAAAGAGACTATGCCACTTGGTCCCACAGGACACCTACCACATTAGGCCACCCCACCAAGCTGGGAGTCATGGCAGACCTAGCTCATACACGGAAACAAACAAAAGAGGCAACCACAATAGGGAGACAGAGAAACAGGCCCCAAGTTGGGGGGGGGACAGTAGAAATCTCCAAAAAACAACAATTAAATCAAATAGAAGCAAGCAGTTTATCAAATATAGAATTCAAAGTAATGGTTATAAAGATGTTCCAGGAATTTAGGGAAAATTATAACAGCACGAAGAAAACACTTTTTTAAGTCAGAAATGAAAAATACAATGTATGACATCATAAATAATACACTAGGCGCTCCAATACAGTTGGAACATTGTCACATACATCAAAGACTCTGGGT